AAAATCACAGTATCCATGGTTGTCCGCATTCGTCTTCAACGTCACATCCTCTCCGTCGATCGCCAAATTTTTCATCAACATCCCCATCAATTTGATGTACCAGAATGCAAACATCACTTTTTCCGGCCGCCGGAGCTTCGGCTTCGGCGGATGATTTGTCAAGACCGAAATGCAGAAGGGTTAGGGTTAGGAAATGGAAGAGGCGGCGAACACCGGAGGAGGTGGTGGAGGTCAAGTAAGGGCCGCGGATCTATGGAGATTTGTAGATATTTGTGGATGGATAATATATATTTTTTATACTTTTGATTCTTGCGGACAATAGATAAACTGAAATATATGGGTTTTCACCTTCTGATTCTTGTAGATTTTGTTGTTTGCAGTTGCAGAGAGAGGGTTTTCACCTTCTGATTCTTGTAGATTTGTTGTTTGCAGTTGGAGAGAGAGAGAGAGGGCAAGTTCAGAGTTGAGAACGAGAATAGAGATGGAGCGATTGGAGAGGCTAACATGAGTTGCCCTAAAAATATAATCGGTTATGGGGCGGGGGATGGGGCGGAGGCAGGGCAAGTGGGGCGGGGGCGGTTATGGGGATTAGAGGTAAAAAATTAACCGGTTATGGGGCGGTTTTGGGAGCACCAAAATTAAATGGGGGCGGGGATGGGGAATGGAAAACCCGCCCCAAACCGCCCCATTGCCATCCCTAGTTCAGATATCAATGCATTCTCAAACCAATATACAGAGTATTTTTAAAATGATGAAATACTAATGCGTCCATCAAACGAAGCCTGCTATACTAATGCTAGTGGTTGATTTCAATTTATAATTCAAGTTGCCGGAGCAAATGAAAGACAATCGAGCAATAGCTTAAAATAATTAAATGAGTCCGCCAATTTTGACCACTTTATTATTGTTTTTTATGTAATGCAAATATGAAATGTTTTCAATTTAATTTTTTTAACTCATTGTTTTTGTTTCTACTGTTCCTCCCCTAGGTCAACCAATAAAACATTTTCTAGGTGTGGCAATTATGAAGGATTTAAATTATTTAATTTATTTTAGTTTTCTTTTACATAACTCTCTCTCTTTTGGAGAAAAACTTTATTAGGCAAGTTGTAGTAATGATATAGTAGCATCAACCTTTTATAGGACGGAATAAATTATGTTTGGTTAACTGATTTAATTAAGAAAAGAAAAAAAATATTAATAATATAATAATAATAATTAAGGATATGCAAAGTTGCCTTTAAATATTAATGCTTACGCAAGCCATGAATCAGCAGAGCACTAGTTTTAAAATGATTAAATTATAACGCCTCCCCCAAATCAAAACCACTTAATTGCTGTTGTTATTAATTAATTAATGCAAATATGAAAGGTTGATCAAAATAATTATTTAACATCTTTGGTTGCTTCTAGTCTTCCACACTTACCGACCACATAAGATAAGGTAGAGATGTTTCTGGAAAGAGCAAAAAGATGAGACAAGTAGTGCTGGTGAAGATGATGAGCTGTCCCTTATCTTTTTGCAGAAACTTTAACTTACTTTTTCAAATATTTTAAGTTATGGAATGAATTAATATGCTGTGCCAAAAAGAAAAGCTATGCTATTATTATAATATACCACTACTATTATGAACCATTAGATCTTACAATTATTACTCACATATACACTTTAAAATCCTCAAATTATAATCTTACAATATTATATACTTACAATTTAAGGATCCATGAACACAAATTATTTTACCTCTCAAAATGGCCCATTGAGACAAATTATTGTGATGTGCGTGTCAATTTCTTGCTCATAAAACTATATATATGGAAATCCTCAAATTATAATCTTACAATATTATATACTTATAATTTAAGGATCAATGAACACAAATTATTTTACCTCTCAAAGTGGCCCATTGAGACAAATTATTGTGATGTGCGTGTCAATGGGCCACTTTGAGAGGTAAAATAATTTGTGTTCATTGATCCTTAAATTATAAGTATATAATATTGTAAGATTATAATTTGAGGATTTCCATATATATAGTTTTATGAGCAAGAAATTGACACGCACATCACAATAATTTGTCTCAATGGGCCACTTTGAGAGGTAAAATAATTTGTGTTCATTTATATATATATATATATATATATATATATATATATATATTTCATTTTTACATGCATTTAATGAAAAAATTATTGTTTGTTTACAAATGATGATCAAATTATCGCTTAGTAGTGTGATAGATGTACTTTTAAAATGATCCAAATAAGATTAAACACAGTTGAATTTGTTTTTAATATTTTATTTGTTCACAATAGTAAAGAGTCTTTAAAAAATAATTTAAGCTTTATTATGCAAGTTGAAGGGATAACATGGTATTATCAACTTTATGTAGGACGGAATGAATTATGTTAGGTTAACTAATTTAATTAAGAAGAGGAAAAAAAATATTAATAATATAATAATAATAATTAAAGATATGAAAAGTTGCCTTTAAAAATCAATGCTTTCGCAAGCCATGAATCAACATAGCACTAGTTTTAAAATGATTAAATCAAAACCACTTAATTGCTGTTCTTATTAATTAATTAATGCAAATGTGAAAGGTTGATCAAAATAATTATTTAATATCTTTGGTTGCTGCTAGTCTTCCACGCTTATTGACCACATAAAGGGTACAATTTATATAAAAACTTGTATCTATCTCATTAACAACAAATCATAATGAGACACTTTCTAGTATCTATCTCATTAACTTCTCTCTCTCTCTCACTTTCTAGTCACTCTGTATCTGAGACACCTTACTAGCTCCATCTAGACATATCTATAAGCTAGAGGTACGTTCAAGTCACTGCTTCAGTTTCTTCACCAAAACAGTGTTAGCTCTCTGCAGATATTTGCATTTAATCTTTCTCCTACTAGTCTTCTTTTTTGTATGTCCTAATTGTGAATTTTCACTTTTTGTTATCTTTCTCTTTCATTCGTTTTAGTTTGTGAATATTCTTTTGTATTCCATCATCATCTTGTTTGTGAAAAAAAAAAAAAAAAAAAAGCAGCAGCTATCTAGCGAGTTGAAAATGAGTTGTGTTATAAATGCCATTGTGGGAAAAATATTAGATCCAATATTTGACTATTTGTTCGCATCAATTGGGCGTCAAATTGGTTATTTGGTTAAATACAAGGAAAATATTGAGAATTTGGAAAAAGAAGTGAACGATCTTAAAGGTGTGAGGGACAGGGTCCAAGCAGCTGTGAATAGAGCCAGGGACAATGGGATGACCATTGAGAAGGATGCTGAGAAGTGGCTGGAGGAAGTGCAGCAGTCGTTGACGACTTTGGAAGAAGAAATGAACAAATCATTGCAAGACAAAGCAAATCTCAAATGTCTTGATGTACGTTCACGGTATAGGCTGGGCAAGAAAGGGAAAAAGATGGTGATGGATGCTATCAGACTAAAAGAGGATCGCAATAAGTTTGGCGATGAAGTTGCACACCCTACTCCTCTCAAAGATATTTGGTACACATCCAGCACAGGTTATGAGAATTTTGATTCCAGAAAATTGGTTTTTGAGGAGATCATGAAGGCACTGACAGACGATAAGATTTTCAAAATCGGAATATATGGAATGCCAGGTGTTGGAAAGACAACAATGGTGAAGGAAGTTGGCAAACAAGCTGGAAAAGGTCCTTTTGATGAGGTCGCAATGGCAGTTTTCTCCCAGAATCCAGATCTGAAAAAAATTCAAGGAAAACTTGCGGACTGTCTAAATCTGAAATTAGATAAAGAGAGTGAAGAAGGGAGAGCGGGTCAACTATACAATAGATTGAAGAATGGGAAAAAAATTCTTATAATATTTGACGATGTTTGGGATGATCAGATTACACTGGAGAAAATAGGAATTCCAACGGATATAGTTAATAGCATGGGTTGCAAAATTTTGTTGACCTCTCGAAGACTAGAAGTGTGCAACCGGATGGGGTTTGAAAAAAGCTTCCCAATTGGACTCCTATCGGCACCTGAAGCTTGGCACCTATTCAAGAGAATGGTTGGAGACTTTATTGAAGTTGACCCTGAAATTCAGTCCATCGCAAAGCAAATTTGTAGAGAGTGTGATCATTTGCCATTGGCAATTTGTGCAGTTGGAGGAGCACTGAGCGGTGAGAAGGATAAGCATGTATGGAATGATGCAGTTGAACAACTGAAACATTGTCAGGGATATAAAATTGATGGAGTGGAAGAAAAGGTGTATTCATGCATTGAGTGGAGCTACAGGTATCTGAAGCAAGCAGATGTGCAATCATGCTTTTTGCACTGTTCTTTGTTTTTGGAAGATTCTGAGATTTCTATTGACTCCTTGGTGTATTTGGGAGTAGGAATGAAGTTTCTAGAAAGCACAGATAGAACATCAATGAAAAAAGCCAGAGATAGAACACATGTGATGGTTGGTATCCTCAAGAAGTCTTCTTTGCTGTTAGAAGGTGCAAAAGAACACATGTTCAAGATGCACGACGTAGTTCGAGACGTTGCCATATCAATTGCATCAAAACTTCCGAACTTGTTTCTAGTGAAAGATGGTGTCAATGTTTGGCCAGATAAAGATGATTATAAATCTTGCAGGATAATATCAATAGTGGCTTCCTCCAATGTTCGTAAGCTTCCCGATCAATTAGATTGTCAAGGGTTACGGACCTTAGTACTCAGATGCACAGATCGCGGATTACTAGAACTACCAAATAGCTTTTTTGAAGGAATGGAAAAGCTTGAAGTTTTGGTTTTGGAAAACATGAAGCAAGCAGCATCATCACTTTCAAATTTGGCTAGTCTCCGGATGTTGAGTTTAGAAGACTGTGAGCTGGTGAACCCATCTTTCCTCAATAAATCGCAAAACCTTGAGATACTCATCCTTGGTCATATTTATAAATCTGAAAATATGGTTTTTGAAAAAGGATAGTTGACTCACCTACGGTTGTTGTATATAAGTAAATTTAACCAGGATATAAGGTTTCTGTCAGGTTTTCTGTCACGTTTATCTGACCTGGAGGAACTGTACATTTCGGAGGAATATCAAGATCAATGGGAGGTTGAAGGGAATGCAAGCATTGTTGAGTTAAATTCTCTGAGTAACTTAACCGCATTAGAAATTTTGATACCAAAAGATGTCATCTTACTACTACCCAAGGTCCTTCCCAGCTTTAAGTCATTAACGAAATACAAAATATGGATTGGGTGTGAAAATTCAAGATATTACAATGAACACGCGGAAACAAAGATCTTGGGACTTGAGGGTGTTCCTTTGATGGTTGGGCTTCACTTTTTGATGGCAAATGCTGAAGTGCTATATTTGATTAAATCGGAAGGTTTAAAGAAGGTGCTTAATGATACAGACAGAGAGTGGTTTTTAGACTTGCAGCATCTTCAAGTCAGGAATTGTGACGACTTGGAACATCTACTTGGCAAAACCCAAATGGAGTTTACAAACTCATGGACCATGTCCATTTGGTAAATTGAGAAAACCGCATATTACAGAATGTGGATCAATGACGTATCTCTTCTCCCCGTCCACTGTGAGAGCTCTTCCAAACCTACAAATGCTACTAATAAGATGTAGTGAGAAAATGGAAGGAATAATTGGAGGTGACAAGGAAGTTCCAGATAAAGTTATTTTTCATCAGTTGAGGGTGATGAAACTGCACAATCTGCCAAACTTCATAAGCATCTATGCCAATATGAAGAAGACACCATCAACCACAGAGTGCAAGGAGCCTACCACCATTAAACAATCTCTCTTTAATGAAAAGGTATGCTCAATTAGTAGCCTTTTATATATTTTCTATGAACACCTTCAGCTGATTCCTAGAAATTGTTTGCGGACCTACTAATCCATCAGAGTTCTTGAAACCAAAATTAAAAACAAAGATGCGTTAGCAATTTTGATACAAAATGAGGTAAAATCTGAATTAGTTAAGAGCACATTATTTAGAGTTAAAAGTATATATACACACACATACATATATTTATATATTCTAAAATTTTGGACAAGCTTGTTACCTAAACTTCCTTAATAATAGTAATTATGATGATGTGTAATGTGTTCTTAACTAATTCAGATTTTACCTCATTTTGTATCAAAATTGCTATATATATACACACATACATATATTTATATATTATTTTTTATTCTAAAATTTTGGACAAGTTTATTACCTAAACTTCATTAATAATAGTAATTATGATGATTTGATGATGATGATGTCATCTTGTATGAAATAATCTTGATTAAAATATATTTCCAATTATCCTTTACTTTTCTTTTTTTTCTTTTTTCTTTTTTTTTTTTTTACTTTTATTTTGTTATTATATATATATATATATTTTGTGTTAGAGACTTGTGTTGTTAATTGCTCCAGAGACTTTGAAACTTGAGATATTCAGGGCCTCTGATGCTTTTGTCTACTACCCCCACAAAGACATCAATAATTGAAGCAAACTGATTTATAACTTTGTTTTCTTATCTAAATGTTGTGAAATGTTCTTTCGATCTCTATCATTAAATATAATGCTGGTTCGTTGGATTACAGGTTGTGTTTCCTGTCTTAAAGAATTTGTTCATTGATGGATTAAACAACTTTAAAGCGATATGGGACAAGCAATTACTTCCCGTCCTGAAAGCAGGAGATTCCTTCAAGCATCTCAGAAAATTATTTGTAAGAAATTGTACGGGTATGGAAGAGATACTTGCATTTGAAATTGGACAAGGAGAAGAAGAAACACAAGCAAATGATGAAATTGTCGTGTTCCCTAAATTAAAGAGGATATATCTTAGGAGCTTGCCAAACCTGAAACTTTCCCAAGATGAAGAAATAGACGACGACTTACGGAAGAGATTCCTTCAAGCCCTTGTCAACCACAAGGTATGTTATGTAAACAAAGCAAATTATATACTAGAAACCACTTACTAAAGGTCTATGGACCATATAAAACCATTATTGTTTTGCATACTTATTCCCAGATTTCAGGCTAGACAATTCTGAAACCCCAATTACTTGACGTTTTTCTCATTTTCTTGTAATTTTCTGAACTTCTCTAAATACTTAACAATTTTCTGATTCTTTCGAAAGAGTACGCTTGGATATAAAAATGAATGACTAATATGATGCATCATATATTCCATATCTTCTGGTTACATTAATAAATTAGGAATATATATATGTTGCACATATTTGTAATTTTTCATGTTTGTAATTCGGTGGATACAAAGAAGCATCCGGAAGATCGCATCAGGGTCAATGTAAAGGCAGTAAGACAGGTTTAGAATTAATAGCCTAAAGCTATGCTTCCTTTTCTCTTTGTTCTATGACTAATTGTTAATGGATTGATGCTTTTGCAGGTCAAATTTCCAAGATTGGATAATCTTAACATTCAATCTCTGAATCCTTCGAATTCGAATCTGAATCCGAATCCGGATGCAGATTCGGATGCGATTTGGGAGGAATTGGAGTTGGAGTTTGAGTTGCAGTCGCAGTCGGAGTCCGAGTCGGAGTTCGAATAAATATGGGTTTGGCCATTGTTGGATTGAACAAATTTAAAGCGATATGGGACAAGCAATTACTCCCCGTCCTGAAAGCAGGAGATTCCTTTAAGCATCTCAACTGTAGGAAATTGTAAGGAGATGGAAGAGATACTTGCATTTGAAATTGGACAAGGAGAAGAAGAAGCACAAGCAAATGATGAAATTGTAGTGTTCCCTAAATTTCAGGTTTGGAACTTGCCAAACCTGAAAATTTCCCAAGATGAAGAAATAGACGACTCTTCTAGACTACAAGCCCTTGTCAACCACAAGGTATGTTATGTAAACAACGCAAATTATATACTAGAAACCACTTACTAAAGCTCTATGGACGATATAAAACCATTATTGTTTTGCATGTTGAATAAAAAGTGACTCGAGGGGTATACTTATTCTCAGATTTCAGGCTAGACAGTTCTGAAACCCCAATTACTTGGACCTTTTTTCTCATTTTCTTGTAATTTTCTGAACTTCTCTAAATACTTAACAATTTTCTGATTCTTCCGAAAGAGTACGCTTGGATATAAAAATGAATGACTAATATGATGCACCATATATTCCATATCTTCTGGTTACATTAATAAATTAGGAATATATATATGTAGCACATATTTGTAATTTTTCATTTATTTTCTGAAAGTTGGTACATGTTTGTAATTCCGTGGATACTAAGAAGCATCCGGAAGATCGTATCAGGGTCAATGTAAAGGCAGTAAGGAAGGTTTAGAATTAATAGCCTAAAGCTATGCTTCCTTTTCTCTTTGCTCTATGACTAATTGTTAATGGATGCTTTTGCAGGTCAAATTTCCTAGATTGGAGGATTTTGAAATTCAATTGGGTTCGGGTTCGGGTTTCGAGCGGGAGTGGGTGTGGCTATATGAAATTAGTTATGCAATTATGAAGGGTTAAATTTTTTTATTTTATTTTATATTTTTGTTACTTTCTCTAAACAATCTAGTTTTTCCGCTTTTTTTTCTTCATTCCCTTTTTTTTATCTCTTCTAATTTTTTTTCTAATCTTTATTGTTTACAACTAATTTGCGTCTCTCACTTTCTGATCTAGTTCACACTCACCATATTTTCCTGTTTCGTAAAACATTGCTAGCTTCGTCCGAACAAATCCACGAGCAATAGAGGTACGCCTTAAAATCTCTTCTTTAAGCTCTCGATCTGCATTTCTGTTGTGTCATTTATTGCCTAAAATCTTGTGTACTTTTGTTCGCCTTGTGTTGCTTCTAATCTTTATTGTGCCATTTGTTGTCTAAAATCTCTTTTTAATTCGAATCTCTTTTCTTTTTATTGTGCCATCTGTCTCTTAGACACCTTACTAGCTCCATCTAGACATATCCATAAGCTAGAGGAACGTTCAAGTCACTGCTTTAGTTTTTCAGCAAAACAGTGTTAGCTCTCTGCAGATATTTGCATTTAATCTTTCTCCTACAAGTCTACCTTTTTGTATGTCCCAATTGTGAATTTTCAATTTTTGTCATCTTTCTCTTTCACTCGTTTGTCTAGTTTGTGAATATTCTTTTGTATTCCATCATTTTGTTTGTTAAAAAAAAAAAAGAAAAAAAAAGAAAAAACAGCAGCTAGCTAGTGAGTTGAAAATGAGTTGTGTTATAGATGCCATTGTGGGAAAAATATTAGATCCAATTTTTGACTTTTTGTTCACATCAATTGGGCGTCAAATTGGTTATTTGGTTAAATACAAGGAAAAAGAAGTGAACGATCTTAAAGGTGTGAGGGACAGGGTCCAAGCAGCTGTGAACAGAGCCAGGGACAATGGGATGACCATTGAGAAGGATGCTGAGAAGTGGCTGGTGGAAGTGCTGCAGTCGTTGATGACTTTGGAAGAAGAACTGAACAACTCATTGCAAGACAAAGCAAATCTCAAATGTCTTGATGTATGTTCACGGTATAGGCTTGGTAAGAAAGGGAAAGAGATGGTGATGGAAGCTATCAGACTAAAAGAGGATCGAAATAAGTTTGGCGACGAAGTTGCACACCCTACTCCTCTCAAAGATATTTGGTACACATCCAGCACAGGTTATGAGAATTTTGATTCCAGAAAATTGGTTTTTGAGGAGATCATGAAGGCGTTGAGCGATGATAAGAATTCCAAAATCAGAATATATGGAATGCCAGGTGTTGGGAAGACAACAATGGTGAAGGAAGTTGGCAAACAAGCTGGAAAAGGTCCTTTTGATGAGGTCGCAATGGCAGTTTTCTCCCAGAATCCAGATCTGAAAACAATTCAAGGAAAACTTGCAGACTGTCTAAATCTGAAATTAGATAAAGAGAGCGAAGAAGGGAGAGCGGGTCAACTATACAATAGATTGAAGAATGGGAAAAAAATTCTTATAGTATTTGACGATGTCTGGGATGATCAGATTACACTGGAAAAAATAGTAATTCCAGCAGATATAGTTAATAGCATGGGCTGCAAAATTTTGTTGACCTCTCGAAGACAAGAAGTGTGCAACCGGATGGGGTTTGAAAAAAGCTTCCCAATTGGACTCCTATCGGCACCTGAAGCTTGGCACCTATTCAAGAGAATGGTTGGAGACTTTATTGAAGTTGACCCTGAAATTCAGTCCATAGCGAAGCAAATTTGTAGAGAGTGTGATCATTTGCCATTGGCAATTTGTGCAGTTGGAGGAGCACTGAGCGGTGAGAAGGATAAGCATGTATGGAATGATGCAGTTGAACAACTGAAACATTGTCAGGGATATAAAATTGATGGAGTGGAAGAAAAGGTGTATTCATGCATTGAGTGGAGCTACAGGTATCTAAAGCAAGCAGATGTGCAATCATGCTTTTTGCATTGCTCTTTGTTTTTGGAAGATTCTGAGATTTCTATCGGCTCCTTGGTGTATTTGGGAGTAGGAATGAAGTTTCTAGAAAGCACAGATACAACATCAATGAAAAAAGCCAGAGATAGAACACATGTGATGGTTGGTATCCTCAAGAAGTCTTCTTTGTTGTTAGAAGGTGGAAAAGAACACATGTTCAAGATGCATGACGTAGTTCGAGACGTTGCTATATCAATTGCATCAAAACCTCCGAACTTGTTTCTAGTGAAAGATGGCGTTGGTGTTTGGCCAGATAAAGATGAGTATAAATCTTGCAGGATAATATTTATAGTGGCTTCCTCCAATGTTCGTAAGCTTCCTGATCAATTAGATTGTCAAGGGTTACGGACCTTAGTACTCAGATGCACAGATCACGAATTTCTAGAACTACCAAATAGCTTTTTTGAAGGAATGGAAAAGCTTGAAGTTTTGGTTTTGAGAAAGATGAAGCTAGCAGCATCATCACTTTCAAATTTGGCTAGTCTCCGGATGTTGAGTTTAGAAGACTGTGAGCTGGTGAACCCATCTTTCCTCAATGAATTGAAAAACCTTGAGATACTCATCATTGGTCAAATTTATAAATCCAAAGAGATGGTTTTTGAAAAATGACAGTTGACTCGCCTACGGTTGTTGTATATAAATAAATTTAACAGGGATATAAGGTTTCTGTCGGGTTTCCTGTCACGTTTATCCGACCTGGAGGAATTGTACATCCCGAAGAAATATGGATATCAATGGGAGGTTGAAGGGAATGCAAGCACTGTTGAGTTAAATTCTTTGAGTATCTTAACCGCATTAGAAGAAATTTTTATACCAAAAGATGTCATCTTACAACCACCCAAGGACCTTCCCAGCTTTAAGTCATTAACGAAATACAAAATATGGATTGGGTTTGAAAATTCAAGGTATCACAGTTAACACGCGAAAACAAAGATCTTGGCCCTTAAAGGTGTTCCTTTGATTGTTGGGCTTCACTTTTTGACGGCGAATGCTAAAGTGCTATATTTGATTAAATTGGAAGGTTTAAAGAAAGTGCTTAATTATACAGACAGAGAATGGTTTTTAGACTTGCTGTATCTTCAAGTCAGGAATTGCGACGACTAGGAACATCTACTTGGCAAACCCAAAAGGAGTTTACAAACTCATGGACCATGTCCAGTGGGTTCTTTTGGTAAATTGAGAAGGTTGCATATTACAAAATGTAGATCAATGACGTATCTCTTCTCCCCATCCACTGCAAGAGGTCTTCCAAACCTACAAATACTACTAATAAGAGGTTGTGAGAAAATGGAAGAAGTAATTGGAGGTGACGAGGAAGTCCAAGTTATTTTTCATCGGTTGAGAGTGTTGAGATTGCACAATTTGCCAAACTTCAGAAGCATCTATGCCAATATGAAGAAGACACCATCAACCACAGAGTCCACCATTAAACAATCTCTCTTTAATGAAAAGGTATGCTCAATTAGTAGCCTTTTATATATTTTCTATGAACACCTTTAGCTGATTCCTAGGAATTGTTTGCAGACCTACTAATCCATCAGAGTTCTTGAAACCAAAATTAAAAACAAAGATGGGTTAGCAATTTAGATACAAAATGAGGTAAAATCTGAATTAGTTAAGAACATATTACTGAGTTAAAACTATGTATATGCACCCATACATATATTTATATATTATTTTTTATTCTAAATTTTGGACAAGCTTATTACCTAAACTTCCTTAATAATAGTAATTATGATGATGTGTAATGTGTTCTTAACTAATTCAGATTTTACCTCATTTTGTATCAAAATTGCTATATATATACACACATCCATATTTTTATATATATTTTTTTTTCTCAAATTTTGGACAAGTTTATTACCTAAACTTCCTTAATAATAGTAATTATGATGATGTGATGATGATGATGTCATCTTGTATGAAATAATCTTGATTAAAAATTCTATTACCAATTATCTTCTTCTTCTTCTTCTTCTTCATCTTCATATTTTTTTTTTGAATCTTTTTTTATTTTTTTTTTTGTATGTATTAGACTTGTGTTGTTAATTACTCGAGAGACTTTGAAACTTGAGATATTCAGTGCCTCTGATGCTTTTGTATAGTTCAGCCAATTTTGATCTCGGTCTACTACCCGTACAAAGAAATCAATAATTATAGCAAATTGATTTTAGACAAGACAGTAGTCATACTGATTTATATCTTTGTTTTCTTATCTAAATGTTGTGAAATGTTCTTTCGATCTCTATCGTTAAATATAATGCTTGGTTAGTTGGATCATAGGTTATGTTTCCAGTCTTAGAGATTTTGGACATTGGTGGATTAAACAACTTTAAAGCGATGTGGGACAAGCAATTACTCCCTGTCTTGAAAGCAGGAGACTCCTTCAAGCATCTCAGAGAATTATCTGTAAAAAGATGTAAGGAGATGGAAGAGATACTTGCATTTGAAATTGGACAAGGAGAAGAAGAAGCAAAAGCAAATGATGAAATTGTCGTGTTCCCTAAATTAAAGTGGATAGATCTTCAGAACTTGCCAAACCCGAAAATTTCCCAAGATGAAGAAATAGACCGTACTCTAGACTACAAACCCTTGTCAACCACAAGGTATGTTATCTAAACAAAGCAAATTATATACTAGAAACCACTTACTAAAGTTCTCTGGACAATATAAAACCATTATTGTTTTGCATGTTGAATATATATATGTAGCACATACTTGTAATTTTTCATTTATTTTCCGAAAGTTGGTACATGTTTGTAATTCGGTGGATACTAAGAAGCATCCCGAAGATCGCATCAGGGTCAATGTAAAGGCAGTAAGGAAGGTTTAGAATTAATAGCCTAGAGCTATGCTTCCTTTTCTCTTTCTTCTATGACTAATTGTTAATGGATTGACGCTTTTGCAGGTCAAATTTCCAACTGGTTGTTTTTGTGCAATTCGATCTCTGAATCCGACAAACATGTACGAAGTTTCGGATTCGGATGATGAAGATTTGGATGGAAAAAATGAGATGGAGTTGGAGTCGGTGTCGGAGTCCGAATAAATATGTGGGGTGGGCTCCATCCACAAGTGAAATAAGAAAAAAACTGCTGGTGAGTGCGTGCGTGTGTGGCAGCAAGTCTTGCTTGTATATATGCGTGCTTTCCAGCATACGATGCATGTGTTGTTTGGGGATGGATACCAAAGACAGAACAAGTGAGGTTTTGGAGTGTTTTGTGTTCTAATGAGTTTTATGTGTAACTTCAATAAAGAATTTTTGTAATGTTTTTACATAGTGTGGAATATTGTAAATTTGTTTCGTGTTTTTTTTTTTTCTTCCTCTTATTGTTGTACAATTTTTCCACTTGGTGTCCTCAATTGATTACTGCTGATTTTCTATTTCATGAAATTCTTTACTGTTGGGTTAGAATTTTATATATATATATATATATGTGTGTGTGTGTGTGTTCTTCAAATATATATTTTTTTTCCTCCTCTTATTGTTGTAGAATTTTTCTTGTGTTATTTTAATTTTTTTTTTTTTAATGTAAATTTTATTTTTATGAAAATGCCATGATTGAGTTGTTTATTTGACGGTTATGTGTGATTTTATTATGAATTATTTGTAATTAAATAGATTTAATTTATTTAAGTTAATTGGATTGGGCTTAAGGGAAGTTGAACCAATGGATGTGATCTTGGACTTAAATAAAGCTTTGTTGGGTTAAATTAATAAAGGCCCATGGTTATGAAGATGTTTAAATGATTATTTTATATAATTATATATATATATATATATATAATTATATATATATATAATTAATTAATTAATAATCATTAATTACTTATATTACATGCCATATATGTTATATATGATTTAAGTAATTAATGATTATTATGAATGAAAATATATATATATATTATTAGCTATATATTTATATTAGGTAGTGAGACTAGGAATAGGATTTGGGTATACATGTCACACCCCAAAATTTAAATACACAAACCCTTGTCTCATATTAAAATTTGGAATGACTTTTTACATAACTACAACTTTGCAAAATAAATAATTAAAGAAGTATATGTGAATCTCCCTCTAATTTATTAAATTGATACAACCTTAATAATATTCAATATCATCAAAATTAATCCATGATAATTGGACAAACTAAATTAAATCTAAAAAAGAAAAATAACATCATTCTTATTAAAATGATTTAAGAAGGAAAAATTGAACTAAATAAAAGAATACGAAAAACTAACTAAAATCGATCGCCATCATGTGATCCCATCATGTTCCTACTCAATGTGTACTTGAAATGTGATAATAGCTCACAAGCTCAGCAAACAAATATTAAACACAATCATTGTTCAACAAGCTAACCTTACTTTGTATTTCCATATACATAAGCAACTCAAATAAGTGTAATAAACAAATACGCATAACACCAGTTAATTATAAACTCAATAACCATCATTTCATTTTTATTAAGTCCACATATCTCACATGAGTCCCCCGCTCCCCTCTAATAAAAATGGTGTGAATCTTATAGTCCCGAATTACCGAAAACACACGTGTGGCTGGGTTGTACGTCTACTCCCCAAATGATCTCGGACCACGTCTACACAATAAGGGTACATTAAGCACATGGTCATAATAAAAAGGTAGTGCACTCCCAAATAGGTAGGTCTTAGACCGTACTCAAAAGTCATCATAGAGTCAACCCCGGACTATCCCTCTAACTAATCCAAACTCCTTTATTAATATATTTATGTTGAATTATGGAAGACATTAATTTTATAACTTAAATTAATGATTAAAACACCAAAATACACTTTTAAATTAAAAACAAAACATGAAGGACTCAACCAGTGAGAGTACAAAAATTCTGGACATAGCCTAATATTAGATATGACTCCCTACAAAATTTGAGAATCTAACTTTTAATTTCCTTTCCATACTCTCTATCTTAGTGCTAAAAATAATACTTTTTTAGGTTTTAATTTGGTAGAACTACCGAAATATTATTTAAAATTCTAGATTTCATCAAAGCTAAGTTCATTATACAAAAACATAATATTCTGAAATTTTCAATAACTTTTGGAATACTAAAAATATATTTCCTTAATTATTCTAATTTTAAACTAATTAAAAATAATAGTTAAATATATTATTTTATTTTGGTTGAACCTGGGTGTGGGCCAACAGATTGGGCTCGATGAGTGGATCACAATGATAAATTTGATAACTAAGTCGATGTCCCAAACCAACACACTCTTTCTCACTATCTAATGTCGAGAGTTGATTTTGTACATGAGACCCAAAGTGGGTTTCCTCCACCAATTCCTGCATTTTAATTCAAAGTTTTATCTCAATAATCTATTTTATCACAAGCAATTCGGATCAACAATCCAAACAATACATTCAGGGTATCATGTACGTAGACCTACAAGGATTTTACATATGCAATTAAAGATATAAATCCAAAGCTTATATATATATATATATATATATATATAAGGGCAAATTACACAAACCATCTACGAAGTTTCTATATAGTGCATGTATATAGAAGTTATATCAATAGTATAGAAAAGGTCCATATGGAATGTTTGACCACAAAAAATCAACATAAATTTACACTTTTGACCTTAAATTAAAGTATTTATTTTTAATGAAAAAAATAAAAGATATTGTATATTGGAAAGTTTCATTTTTGACCCTGTGTACACCCTATCGCTTCTTTACCACATCACTCCTCTTTTCTCTCTCTAAACACATCGAGACGGTTCTGTTGCCCTGACTGTTTAATGCCTTATCGGGTATGGGTGGTGGTAGGCAGGTCGACCACACGGCGGCGAACAACGACAACACAGCCGAGCAAAAGGACTCTCAGTAAAATGTAGTGGTGAGTCGGAATGGCAGTAGAACTGAATCGCCGTGGATAACTCACGGTGGCTGCGGTTGTAGATGAACTGCGGCAGTACACGGCGAGACGGATCCTGCTTTGGTGACGGCAGCTTGTGCACGCCGAGGTGGATATGGGCTGGCTGTGATGGCGATGGGTTGGTTGTTGCTTCGGCTGTACGCTCGAGGATGATGGCAGCGAGCTCGGCTTTGATGGGCTCGATCATGGAGGATGTCGGCTGTGATGGAGGCGGCAGCGAGCTCGGATGTGGTGAGTGAGGTTGAGCTTGGATGGTGGAGAGCTATGTGGTGATGGCGGTGATGGACCAGCGAGCTTGGAACAGAAGACTAGGGCCACTCGGCTATGATGAGGTCGGAATGATTTGTGTCAAGGACTTTTTGTTGTGTATGAGAATAGATGGCATAAAAATGAAGAAACAATCTTTAATTGGTTTCAATGAAGTTATGATGATGATGGAAAGTATGTGAAAGTTGTTGTGGAAATTGGTAGTTTGGTTAGCCTCTTTGTGAAAATTTCCCCATTTGCAAGAGACCCATATTCAATCAGAGTCTGCAAGGGGTTGTTTCGATAATTGTCGGGTTTGATTCATACAAGAATGTGCTGATTGGGGTGGGGGTATAGTGACATTCATTAGGGATTTAGAACATGGGAATGAATTTGGCAAAGAATTATCATAGCCGTTTTCCCTCACCGGAAACCAACCGTTGGCAGCAAGGTCACGAAGGAAGTTGGGGTGATTTGGTGGTTCAATCAGACAAAGCACTCTCTGTGTATATATCTATATACATATATATGGAATGTATAAGTGGAAGAGATGATATGTGTATTCTATGTAATGATGAAGAGGTTAGTTTGGTTAATTAAAATTAGTTAAAAGGGTAAATTAGTAATTGTAACATTTTAATTAGTCCATTGACAAGTCAAGGGGCATTCTTGTCTTTTTATTATGTGTGGGTGGGTTTGTCAAACAGACCAAACAGTTAATTTGGGCCTTTATGTTATATTGTGGCCATTTTCTATCTATATGTATAAGTTGAAAACTTGAGGGGTTCTTTGTGTAATTTGCCCATATATATATTACCTAAAATGCCTTTCTCCCTTTTTTCTATGTTGCCTAAAATGCCCTTGTCCATGTTGCAATACATTTTACCTTTGGAGCCCTAACCTCACTGAATTCTCTCATTCGTGCAAGAGCCCTCTCTCTCTCATTGCTGATATCTCTCTTTCCCAACAACTCTTTCTAAGCCAGTCCCTCCACCCTCTCTCTTTCTAGCTTCATCGCTCTAGGAATTGAGAAACCTAGCTCTTCTTTTCAGTGCAGCAACAATGGGCTCAGAAGAGGGATCAAGGGTTCTGGGTGAGCTTCAAAACCCTACATTTCTTAGTACATTTTCATTGTTTCAATTGAATTTTTCTTTTTTCCTTTTTTCGGCTGTAATTTTGGATTGAGTTATGATGATTCAGTGTTTCTTAAGCTTTTTTGTTGTAATGGTTCTTGAATTTGTGTGTTCTTCCTATTGTAGGCTATTGGGTTTTCTAAAATTAGGGTTTTCTTAGGTGGGTGGGTCATACCCAGATTAAGGTTCTGTGACTTGCGCCAATCTGTCTCACTGTGTTTGCTCATTTTGAAGTTTGCACATTTATATGGTGTGAAATTATAACTAAAGGTTTTGTGGGTCCAATCTAATCTTGAAGCTAGGATATATTATTGAATAGTTAGCATAAGGAACAGTGAGTTCACTAGATGTGCAGAAGTATTCAACTCCTAGCAGAATAAAATAGGGAAATTTAAGAGTTCACATTAAAGAACTTTTACGTTGTATGTGCACATATAATCACATATATTGCATTTTTCAAGAGCTCCAATGGAAATATTCAACCTTTTAAGTAAACTCAAAATTCTTATGTAATTGTTCAGAATGTTTTAAATAGCAGTATTGCTAAGTTGAATAATGAGTTCACCTGCAAGGTGTTAGGCAAATTATAAATTCTTTTTTAATTTTGATGATTCTTTCTAAAATTATTATTATTCAAAGTTTCGAATTGTCTGTTTTTATATTGCTTTTGTTCCTTATTATTATTATGCAATGCCTTAATACCTTAATTCATAGTTGTTAAAGGCTCAAGGCGCACAAAAGCACAAATGCCTCCTGGAGCCTAAGGCGCAAGGCGCAAGGCGAGGCGCGCGCCCGACTGAAGCAAGGCGCACGTTGGAAAAAAAAAAAAACAAAACCCACCCAATAAAGTATTAAAGATGCAAATCATGCAATAATATATAGAAAGATGTAAAAGTCAACTAAATGAATTACTCAAGTTAAATATTCAACATAAAGATGCCAAAACCAAGTAAATCAAGTACTTGAGTTCAAAACAGTGAATAATCAAACATATTCAAGTAAAGATGCAAAAGTCAACTAAGGAGAAGTATAAGATAAAATTAAAACAAACATAAACATCATTCTTCCTAAGAAGACAACACCAATGAATCTAAATATCATCCTCGTCATCAATAAGCATAACATCATTTTGATCGTCACTAAATGATTCATAATTCTCAGGATCCTCTTCTATCTCATCTGAATCATCCTCATCCTCATCCACAAGTCGAACTGAAGAACTTCCTGCTCCCTTTGTTGGTAACCGTGAACTAGAACTAGATTTTGATCTAGTAGACCGTTGCGGCTTGCTTGCCTCTCCAATACCAGCAAAATTAGCAACATCACCCCATGTCAAGAATCATCTTCATAGACTAGATCATGTTCTGCATCAGAATCATCCATCCTCCCCGTCAACCACTCGTTGCTCTCATCAATGTCATCGAGTAAAATGGGATCAAGAGTGTCACGCATATTATATCGACGCCTCAATGCTCTATTATATTTGATGAACACTAAATCATTCAACGTTGTTTGAACGAGCCTATTTCTTTTCTTGTTATGAAGCTGCAATAAATTCAACTTTAACTAGTAAGTATAAAAAATTAAAATTTTAATTTTCAACAATTAAATTACAAACCTAGTTAGTAAATAGTACATACTTACATGCTCAAACACGCTCCAATTTCGTTCACAACCAGAAGAACTGCAAGTAAGGCTTAAAACCTTTATAGCAAACTTTTAGAGAAGTTTTGTTGACTTGCTATAAGCTTCCCACCAATTGGCTATTAAAAAAAAATTAATAATGATGTTTAGCAACTTTAGCTTCATCTTTCTATCAACTCTATTGTCAAAATAATTTTAACACTTCGCTATACTAACTTAATATACTTTACCACTTTACCTGGTCCTCGTGTACTTCTCTGTCTAATAGCAAAAGGATTACCAAAGAGGCCCTCAGCTTTAGAATATAAGGACAGCTCCTCAGTAATTTTGTCTTGGTCTTTGACATCCGGGACTAACCTTGCAATGCATGCATACAAACCCTTTGCAATCTCTTCATCTTCTTCAATTTTCGAATTTGAATAAAAATATTCTGGGTTCAAATAATAACCTGCTGCATGCAAAGGGCGATGAAGTTGAACATTCCACCTCTTATCAATTATTTCAAAAATATCTGAGTATTTGTCTTCTACTCCCCAAATGATTTTGCAATGGCTTCTTTAGCCCTATCCATAGCCGCATAAATGTATCCCATGGGAGGCTTTCTCTCGCGATCAACTAATCTCAAAACCGGAATAAGAGGACCAGAAACCTTAAGGCTAAAGACAATGTTGTTCCAAAAGGAAGGCATCAAAACATAAGAAGCAACTCTTTTACCGGCTTCCTCTTTCGCCCATTTACTACGATTCCATTCTTCTGAAGTAAACATCTTTCTCAAGTTATTCTTTTGCTTGTGAATACTTGATAATGTGATGAAACATGTAGCAAATCGAGTCTTAGCAGGCCTAAGCAACTCCTTTTTGTGAGTAAAGTTCCTCATAATGTTCAACAACTTTGGTTGCATATAAATATAACTATTCAACTCCACTGCCCTCTGCATTGTTCTAGAGATAGACGGTATTTTCCCAATGTCTTCCAACATCAAGTCTAAGCAATGAGCAGCACATGGGGTCCAATACAAATGTGGGTGTTCTTTCTCTAACATCCTCCCTATTTGAAACCAAACGGAAAAAAGAATAAATGATATAAAGAGAATGAGTAAATCAAAATTGATTTAAATTATATATTTGTAAAAAATGTAAATTCTAAAAGTTATAAACATTGAACATTCTTACCGGCATATTTATTGCTTGACTCACTATCTGTGACGACTTGGATGACATTTGCTACTCCAATGCGGTTGACAAATTTATTAAGTAAGTCAAACATCTTGTCACCATCCTTTGAAAAAGAAGAAGTATCTATCGACTCAATAAACATGGTTCCCCTTGGACTATTTACTAGGAAATTAAGCAATGTTCTCCCACTCTTGTCTGTCCACCCATCTGCCATTAACGAGCATCCAAATTTTGACCACTCCTCCCTATGGTCATTCATCAAAGCATTGGTATTATCCAATTACTTCCTAAGCAAAGGAACTCTCACCTCATGATAACTAGGTGGTTTCATGCCAGGACCATATTGTCCAATTGCTTCAACAACCTCGGCAAAGCTATCATACTTAACAGCATTGAATGCAATTCCTGCATCATACATCCACCTTGCAAAAGCAGCACACGCTCTTCCTCTCAACTCTTTCTTGCATGCATCATTAATGGCTGTTTGTTTTCCCCCCTCCTTTCTTTTTTGTACCACAATTTCCGGTCTGGGAGTGAAATATAAATCAATCGGTCCCTTTTGCTTTTGCACCTTTGAGGAATTGACACTAGCACTGCCTGCACTGGCTACCCTTTTTCCTCGATTGTTAACTTCCATAATGTCATCCTCATCCTCTCCATCAACGAAATTAATTTCATCACTAGGTAACAAATTCATTTGATCTTTTTCTTCCTTTTTCTTACTCATGTACTCTTTGATTTCTTCTCTAACACTAGATGGGCATCTTGGGCATGCACTCACATTTCTATACCCTCCAGCTAAGTGTTGTTTAGCTTGATAAATACCTCCTTTTGTAACTTTTGCACAAAAGTTACAAGTGACGGCATTTGTATCTTTCGGATTCTCCAAATGTGAGTAATTCCATGCCGGATCCTTTCTTGAACCATCACTAGGCATCTTTTAAAGTACAAACTACAATCAAATTCAAGATAACAAAATAATAGCATCATGTAATCAGTGTTTGCAACAACTCTGGCAAATAAATAAATAAATACAGAGCTTCAAAGCAATTAGCAATATTAACATTTCAATTTAAAAAAATAAATACAAAGCTTTGGCAGAATGCAAAAAACAAAATATTATTCTTTAAGGTCTCATACTCTCATTAGAATTTGGTCACTAGCTCAAATTGGATGCATGCTATGATTTTATTATTATTATTAAATGGTAAACTCTGAATGTGCAAATCCGGATATTGAATAATTTATTAACTTTTCATTTGTTTTATTTTAATTTATTATTATTATTATTATGTTCTAAGTAGACACTGACTGGGAAAATTCATTGTGTCACATTGAGTTGATTCTTATAATGCCTAATATCTGAAGTAATATTTTCCAGTTCTTCGATCTAATATAGGGGAGACTTTGTGACTCTACTCTTAACACTCTTGGCCGCTGGATGCCCTTGTTTAATGCAGGACTAAAGGAAAGATTTGACTATGTTCTGCTTTTGTCGCATTTCAAGAAATTTGGTTTGATATGGATTAGAGAATATGCACATAGTTGCTATGTTTGTTACAACATTTTGACATATCAGTTAAACTGCAGTTCGTTATTCATTCTCCCAATACTACACATTTTTGTTGTTTACTTGATCGCCTAAAGAAAGGATACGGTTTACCAACGGTTTAGTATTGAAATATTTCTAGTGAGCTGCGTGCCTCTGTGCACGCCTAAAAACTTATGCTTCGAGTGGGAGATCATGCTGAAACAAAGAGGGTCATGCCCGGTATGGTCCCGTTAACAAAGGATGCTAATAGACCACTCGATGCAGACCTAAACTTTGATCGGATATTGAATGTGCAATGCATTTCCTCAAACCAACAACATGTTAGAATGGAACAAATACAACTTTTCACACAAATAAATCAGGTTAATATAAAGTACCTCACACAAATAAATAAATAAAAAATAAAAAAATGAAAAAAAAATAAAAAAACTGGAGTAAGAAAAAAAAATAATAATAATAAAAAGAAGAAAAAAAAAAAATCTGCCAGGAGAGAGCCGAGACTGAAGAGAAGAGAAAAAAAAAAAAAAAGAAAAAAAAAAATCTGCCAGTGCCAGGAGAGAGCCGAGACTGAAGAGAAGAGAAAAAAAAAAAAAAAAAAAAAAGAAAAAAAAAAAATCTGCCAGGAGAGAGCCGAGACTGAAGAGAAGAGAAAAAAAAAAAAAAAAAATTACTGGAGAAACAAAAAATAAATAAAAAAATAAAAAGAAGAAAAAAAAAAAAAACAAATCTGCCAGGAGGGAGCCGAGACTCAAGAAAAGAAGAAGAAAAAAAGAAAAAAAGAAAAAGAAGAATAAAACTGGAGACAAAAAAATAAATAAAAAAAATAAAAAGAAGAAGAAAAATAGAAATAAATGACATAAAATGTATTGCAAGAAAGAGCCGAGAGGCCCCAGGGCCCAGACTCGAGAGAAGAGAAGAAGAAGAAAAGAAGAAGAAAAAAAAAAAAAATCTGACCGAATCACCGATCCGGCAGATCTGAGAAGAGAAGGAGGAGAGAAGAAGAAGAGAAGGAGAGAAGAAGGAGAGAAGAAGAAGAACTAACCTGGAGAGAACCGACGCAGATCCGAGAGTCAGAGTCCCGAGTGAGTACTTCGCTGCCTCTGTCTGTGTTCTTCTTTCCTTTGCTTCTCTTTTTTTTTTTCGTTTTTTATGTTGCAAACTTGCAATAGGCTTTGGCTTTGAGCTTTCAACTTTTCAAGTTAAATAACACAATACAAAATACAAATAATATAACAATACAGAGTTACAGACTACAGAGTCACAAACAAAACAAAAAATAATAAGGAAAATAAGTTAAAAACAAAAGTTTCATGCGGGGCGCGCCTTTCTAGCGCCTGTAGCCTCGCGCCTTGATCGTAAAGGCTCACGCCTTATATAACCCAACCGCCTTGAGTAGACTCAAGGCGCTAACCTGGCGCCTGGAGGCGCCTTGAGCCTCAGGCGCGCGCCTTCGGCGCCTTTGACAACTATGCCTTAATTTTTATTGTATGTGACAGTCACAGAGACAAAGTGGTTCTATTGTTCCAACTACACACAGAGACATAGAGAATGCATGTCCATCAAATACACAAACAAGAGGACTCTCACTAGGACCACACAAAGGAAAAGGGCCACAAATTGGTTTACCACAGAACAAGGAAATACATACCTGTATTTGCCCAATTGGGAGCTAGAGTAAGTGGGATAGGAGGATCTCAAAATCCAAAAAGAACTTGAAACGATTTGGGATTTGGGACATTTGTAATGTTGAACAGTGTCTTTTTTATTTTATTTTTTAATTTTGCTGGTATTTTGCAATCTGTTGGTGTTAGCTATTTTTTAGCTTTTAAAGAAGAAGAGCTTTGCAACTTTTGATTGTGGATTAGGTTGGTATGTTTTTGCAACCATTCTATGGCTTATTATACTAGCATCTACCTTAGATGGAATGAAATCAAGTTCCTCTTTTGCATTGGGTTTTCATGAATTAGTATTGTATGGCTTATTATTATGCTAGGGCCTCACTGAATTTTCTTCGACCATTACATGAATGTACTATAAAAAAAATTTCATTCCAAAATTAAAGCAGTTGAATAAATGGAAAATTGGCCTGTTGTTTCCTTAGTTCCATGGTGTCGAACAAAAGGATAATTTAATCTCAATAGTTGTCAAAGAGATACCACACACTCTCAATAAACACAGTTGTCAAAGAGATATCACACTCTCTCAATAAACACTTCATAAGGGTAGTTTTGTAGCTCTACAATGGTCAATAAAGTCAAAAATGTCATTTAAGCCATTGTAAAGGGTAAAATTGATCTTCTACCCATTTATCCATCCTGACATCAGGACTAAACATCTGTTACTTAACGGCAGGGAGTAAGTTGATACGTATGGTCAAAGGTTAGGGGGTGTAGGTGCGATATGGTCAAAAGTCAGAGGGTGTAGGTGGAATTAACCCAATTATATATGTGTAAAGTGATTAAGGTGCAAATTGCATCCATAAACAATTCTATTAGCGCTATAAATAACATAAATTATTCTCTAAGCTAGCTAAGCGAGTGTTTAGAAAATATGGTACTTGGACGCCAAAAAAGGACTTATTTTTGCAATTGAAAATGGTATTACACCCCACACCACTAA